ACTAACATAAAAGTTAAACTAATTCAGTGGGTTAAATTCATCTTTAAAATTAAAGTAAAATAGGACAGAGTATCACGATATTTGTAACATTGACTGGGATGTATTATTTTAAGAATTGTAGTTTTAAGGATTAATAAAGGCTTATGTTATGTAAAGATTGCATGCTTATATATCATCTGGTTATGATGGCTATTGATAAAGATGTTTTTCTACCAATTTTTATTTAGGCACTTTTACCTACAATACGGTTAATAGTGGTGTTTCAGGGACTGGAAAGATAGTACAGAGGTTAGGTTGATTGCTTTGCACATCTCCAACAAAGGTTTGATCACTGGAATCCTGTATGGTTCCTCAAGTACTACCAGGAGTGATCCCTTAGCATAGAACCAAGAATATACCATAGCACAGCGGGTAGGGCGTCTGCCTTGCACGCAGCCAACATGGCCGACCTGAGTTCGATTCCTCCGCCCCTCTCGGAGAGCCCGGCAAGCTACCGAGAGTAGTCGATATGCCAGACACAGTAACAACAAAGTCTCCAATGGAGACGTTACTGGGCCCGCTTGAGCAAATCGACGATCAACGGGAGGGCCTTTACCTTTACCTTACCTAATCTCGTCATGTGACCTAAAAATATATGGAAGACCTTTGAAAATGGAAAACTTATTCCATGTGCATTGCTTTGAAGAATCAACATTGTCAAAATGACCATCCTACCAAAACTGTTATTAAATATCAATAAATATCAATATCAATAAATAAAATAAAAGCAATTCCCATCCAAATCCAGATGGCATTTTTCATGAGTCAGTAATAAAGTTCATATGTAATTAGAAGAGATCCAAATATTCAAAGCCACTCTAAAAAATAAAAATCTAGGAGGTATCTCTGCCTAACATTATAATATAAAGTCGAGTACCAATCAAGCATGGTAATCAAATAAGGGTAGACTCTCTAACCAATGCATCAGAATTGAAAACCCAAGGACAAATCCCCATATATAAATGTATCATAACTTAATTTTCAACAAAATAGCTAAGACTATGAAATGGAGTAAATACAGCCTTGTCAACAAAAGGTGTTGGGAAAATTAGATAACCATATGTGAAAAAATAAAGCTGAACCCTTTTCTCACTCCTTATACAAGTCAACTAAGTATATTAGAGACCCTGAGATCAAATGAAAAACTATAATATACATTGAGAAAAATATAGGCACAATACTTCAAAATTTGGATTTCAAAGCAGTTTCAATCAATATTAAAGATATATAAAGAACTCACAAAGATCATGTATTGTAACCCCATACAAGGTACTCTATCTGAACAAAATAATTGATAGTCTATAATTGATTCTATAATTGACTCTATTAGTGTGATCAATAAAACACCAGCACCCATGGAAATAAAGAATGCTTTACTTAATACATACTGAATCAGATTTTAGAGGTGGAGTATGGTAATTTGTCTAAAGAATCTCACAAAGTGATTCTGATAAACAGCAACATTTCTTTTTATTTAGTCACCTTGAATTACAAAGTTATTTATTATTGCATTTCAGGCACACAATGTTGCAATAGCAGTCCCTTCACCAGTGTTCACTTCCCTCCACCAATGCCCCTCCCCATCCCCATTTACCTCCTGTCCATTTCTGTGAGAGGCGCTTTTTAAAATACAGCTTTTTTTCACCAAAGTTTACAGTACTATTACCGATAGGTTTCATGCATAACAATTTACTATCTTTCAGCTTCTCCTCTTCCTCATTGGTCCCTATGCAATAGTTGTAGCTTCTTCCCTGTCCTATTTCCACACCCCCACTCTAAAGATACGCAGTAAAATTTGAGAACCATTATTCTATATATATGCAACAGAAAGTCTCACATTTTTGTCACTATCACCAAAATAAAAAATATTTCCATGACTCCAAGTTATTTAATTTTACACATCCCAGCTCCAGGTAGCTGATGCCTATGGTTCAACTTTATATAAATAAAATTATACACTATGGGTACTTTTTGTGTCATTTGTCCTTTTTAGTACAACATAATGCCTATGCACCAATAGTTATATTAATCAACAATTAATTTCTATTGTTACATAATATACACTATATGAATGCACTAGTTTTGTTCATTTTCAAGTTTGGGTGGTGTGGGTCGCAACCCTATATATGGGGTTATGTAATTGAACTTGGAAATCAAACAGACACAGACACAGACACACAAACAACTGGCAATAGTAAAATGTTTTGGATAGAAATCAACCAAAAAATCCACTGTGTAACAGATCAAAGGTGTTTCTGAAGTGCCTTCGTATGTTGCATTTATTGGGCAAAAAAGGGTCAAGCTCAAAAGCAATAGAAACAAAGAGGAGGCTAACTGCTCCTTAGTAGGAAGATTGCCTCTGTGGGGGCAGGCAGAAGAGGTCAGGGGAGGGACCTCTAAACAAAAATAGAGGGTAGTACTTACTCTGGATAAGATTGGGTGCTGAAAGAAAGTAAAGTGATATGCATGATACCCTGTCAATAACAGTATTGTAAACCGATTCTGTAAACCAAACCTGTAAACCAAGCCTAAAGGGGAAAGGGAAAAAAATGGCCTACCATAGAGGCAGACTAGGGGGAAAGGAGAAAAACTGGTGAAGTTGGTGGAGGAAAGAAGATATTGGTGATAGAAACTGGTGTTGCAACATTGCACATCTAAAACTCAATCATGAATAACTTTGAAACTTTGTGATTCCCAGTAATTCAATAAAATATTTTTAAAGAGAGGCATTTTAAAGAGATGCATACAAATACCCATGAACTAGAGCAGAGCTTCTCCTGCTCTAGTTGATGGATATTTATATTGCTTTCAAAATACAGGTATAGTAAATAGTATTGTGCCTTGAATTACTCGGGAACAGCCACCATAAAAAATAAAGTTCTTTTAAAATTTTTATTATTATTGATTTGCATGAAGTTATAAGAAATGTATTCCATGTACTCTATTTCCAAAAGGTATCTTACAAACAATAAAGTATCACCACCAACATACTGACATCCCAATGCAATCAAGAGTAGCACCACAACAGTACCTCATGATGATCTTATAGTCACATCTACTTCTTTTATTTATTTATTTTAATGTATCACCGTGAGGTACAATTACAGACTTACAAACTCTCAAGCTTATGTTAAGTCACACAATGATCAAGTATCCACTTCTTGCTTGCCTCTTATATTCCTTTTTTTAATTACTGGGGACATATTCTGGTCTCTATCATTTTATGCGGTGATAATTTAGACAATACCTTATGATTCTAGAGGTTAGATATAATTAAAAAGTGGAGTAAATGAGTCTAAATCAAGATGGGTAGCAAAGATGTGTTCTTTCTGGTGGTTCTTGGGGAGAATTTCTTTGCCTTTTCCTGTTGTGGGGAATACCTGCATTTATTGGTTTCAACCCTTCTTCATATTCCAAACCAGCAGCTTTGATCTTTAAATCTCCCTGACTCTGACCCTCTTTCATTCTTTTCACTTACTTTTTGAGTGCCTGAAATTGAACCCAGGATACAAGTGCTCCACTGATGATACCCTTTCTCATTTAAGGACACTTGTGAATATATTGCTCCCATCTGGATAATGCAGAATTATGTATTTATCTAAAGATCCTTATTTAAAACCAAACGGATTAGAACATGGACATCTTTGGGGGTCATTCTCCTGACTATTACATCTACACTCTTGCAGAAAAGAAGTATACCTGGCTTTCTCTTACATAATTATTTACATACATAGCACATAAATTCTGGTTGAAGTTGGTGGGTACATAAACCATTTTCATTACCCAAGGCAGCAACATTTGGAACTATATTAAGAAAAGTTCCAAAAGTCCCTTCCTATGCTTATCACCTGAAATTCTAATTTCTACATTAAAATTAAAACTGTACAAATATCTTTCATTCCATACATGTTTCCTTTCTCTAGGAACTTTGTGGAAATTATAAAGAGAAGGTATAATATATCATAGGCTATAAACTAGATATCTTGTGTTCATGCTGACTATACTATTTGTCACTTATATATTTAGAAACATGAATTGATCTTGCTCGGCCTCAGTTTATATATTATAAAATAGTATAAAATGTGAGGTCTTCCGAACAGTGATTACCAAATTTATTTGCACTTTGTAATATTAAAATTACTGATGCTAGTGTTGTACTACCAGAGATTATAATGACCTGAGTATGCTATATTAACTTTGGAATCTTTAAAATTCTAATGTGTAGGAGCTGCAGAAATAGTACAGGGAGTGGGACATCTGCTTTTCACTCTGACCACCTGGGTTTAATCCCCAGCATGCAATGTTTTCCTTAAGCCAAGAGTGATCCTTGAGTACATAGTCAGGACTAAGCCCTGAGCACAGCTGCATATAGTCCCAAAACAAAAACAAACACACAAAAACATCCAAAATTTAAAAATTCCAATGTGCAGACAAATTTGGGAGCCAGAGCCTGAAAAACACGTAAGAATTTAAAATTTATATAAAACATATCTTAAGTTTCCTTGCAAAAATTGGGACTCCAAGGAGTGCTAGAGTTTGCCAGGTTGAAGACAGTTGGGAAGTTTTTCTTGATCTATTTTTCTCATCTGTACTATGGGGAAAACTGTTTCTAAATTACAAAGGTGATATTTTCTAAACCATAAATGACTGCCCAACAATTTTCACATTTATTCATACATATTCTATACTCACCACACATGATATTCCTTACCACTTTTTGCAACAAGTGATTTCTGATCTTCCTTTTCTCTGTAATAAGTGACATGGAGGCAGGGTAGAGCCAGGCCAGGCCACTCCAAAATTCCAGAAATATAAACCACTAAGCAGCTCTAAAGTCCTAGTGCCAAGTGAATCCAGGAGTATCACATGGCCAGCATATGCAGGGTTCATATTATATTGGAATGTTGGCCTGGAGCTATGGAAATGATACAGGCACTTGGGCAGTTATTCCTCTTTTGGGAGAGCATTATCTTATGTTTATAAATGAGGGTAGTCATATCTATTCTCCATAGAACTGAAGTGAAAATAAAGTAAGACTAAGGATTAGAAGGTGATTTATAGAGCGTAAGTTATAGTTATGTATTACTTTGCAGACAACTAGTAATGCCACACAAAATATTTCATCACAATAAAGTCTTCCTAAATTTTATTGGCACTGAAATATAACAAGGGTTGAACATAAACCCCTCCCAAATCAATGTTAACCCTCCCCCCTAAAATACACAAAAATATGAATACAAAATCTATTCTTTCTACCCAGTCTCCCTAGGATTTGAAATTGCCCTTAAAGCAGCTAAATGGTCCCTAAACTCCAGGCTTCATTTTAGTCAATATGGGGCATGTCATCAAGGAAATATCAATATAATTCACAGCAAAGCATATAGTACTCCCAAAAGCCAGCCAATGGATTCTGAACTCAAAACACTACATGGGAAGATAGTATGGCCCTAAGGAGAATGAATTTTAGGGAAAATAAACTAGTAAATAACAATAAAACCAAATATCTAGTGCTTTAGGAATAGATTGCATGGCCTATAATAACAGGAGATATCAATAATATGAAAAGTGTCTTACATGAATGCTTTAGGCAAAATATTCTTTTATAATATACATATGATTCTCAAATTGTGGGATAGTAAGGAAATAAGGCCAAAATGATCCTTTCCCCCCAAGAATTAATCCAAGGGTTCAAGAAGCAAGAAATATAGAGATCAATAAAAAGTTGAATACCACTATATACGCAATACTGGTGGGCTGGAGCCATAGCACAGTGGGTAGGGTGTTTGGCTTGCACGTGGCCCATGCGGCCGACCCGAGTTCAATTCCTCCGCCCCTCTCGGAGAGCCCAGCAAGCTACCAAGAGTATCTCACCCACATGGCAAAGCCTGGCAAGCTACCCGTGATATACTCGATATGCCAAACACGGTAATAACAAGTCTCACAATGGAGACTTTACTGGGCCCGCTCGAACAAATCAATGAACAACGGGAGGACAGTGCTACAATGCTACGCAATACTGATAGAAATAAATGAGATATATGAGACAGAGAATAAAGAGGCTACTTGAGAGTTTAGGGTAAGTTGTGATAATACGTGAGGGCCCAAGCCAGGACACCCAACAGTTCTCTGGTTTATAGCTCCCAGGGAAAGCACAGCTAATAGCAAGGCCTGGTTTTAAAGACTTCTCATACAAAGACAGGATTCAGTCACCACCTTATATGGAATGGGAGCAATGATCTACAAAGCACCTAGAGAGTTTAAGAAAATATGGGATATAAGTCATTGGATTCTCACTACACTTAGCTTCTTCAACCCACTCACCAAAAGAATCAAGGGGTATCATATCTACATAACTCTCGATAAGAGCTGTTGCCCAAATATCTATAACTGGAGAAGTGACCTGGGACACTTGACAGTAAAAAATACCAAAATCAAATGTGAATATTTGATCTCTTTGGCAAAAGTCCTTAACGTGGCTGGTTAAATTTTAAAGTAAGCATCTATTTTAACTCAAGGGAATTTGAGGACTGTAATAAAAAGGAGTAGATCCTAAAAAGAGGGGAAAGATTCAGAAGAGAATCCTTTTACAGACAACACTTGAAACAGGCCTAGTTTCCTATTAGGTATTAAGGCACGATCTTTAATCTAGCCTTGGATAGATAGAAGGATCATTACCTTTAGGATGTTGGTGAAACCATAGAAGGAACTGTCTCCTTCATCTTAATCTGGAGAAAAACCTAGTCCCTGAAAATTAAGGACACAGATCATTTTAACTGAATTAGTAACAGGACCAATTCAGGATGTGAAATCACTAAATATCTATTTAGCCACCAATCATATAAGTAACTGCAATATGAATAAACACTGAGAACCATAAACCTAGGACAGTTGACATCTTAAAGCATATATGCAAGACACTATCTCTTTCCTCAAACTCTATGATGATCCAATTCTCAAATCAAATAACCTTAAAGATGATTGCGGTGAGGAGCAAGGTAGTGGGATTAATTAACCTCATATTATACTCCTGCAGAACAAGATTAGATATAAATGTGTTTCCTGAATCAAGTGGGAAGTGCCTTTGATCTGGGGAAGTGGTGTCTTGTAAGAAATTAAAAAAAGGGATTTCCATTGTCACTAAAGTAAGGTTAACTCTCTACCTGGGAAAGTGAGTGAAGGCTGAGGGCTGGGTTTGGTTTCATGACTGCACTGAATATTTGGCATGACTCCAGGACTTTAGTGGTTCAAGCACAGTGTTAAGCAAGAGTATAGGCGTGTGAAGGCAAGAGACGGGGGGGGGCTGTTCCTAGAGGCTGAGTGCTTTTTACATGGATTCAAATTCATCAATGCGCTGCTTGGTGTTGCCCTGTCGAATCTGGCGTAGGGTCTTATATTTATCTCGGCCCAGTCGCATGTTCTCAGCATGGATCATGTCATTGGCAGTCTTCTTGGACTCATCACGGGCATTGGCCAGCTCCGAAGTGAGGGCCTGTGAAGGTGCCAGTGGATGAAGAGTTAATGGCTTCCTCTCATTCTACCATTCTATACCTCGTACTCTCCTTTACCTCTTTCTACATACATATAATCACATATACACTTTTTTGTGAGTCATATTCAGACCTGTTATAAAACTGTAGTGGGGCAAGAATGAAATAAAAACACGGTCTTTGATGGCTAATTGATAACAGGTATTCTCTGAAAGTGGAGCAATATGCCAAAACTCAAGTAGGAATTATGTTAGCTAAATATTTCCTAAATATAAGAGATGAGCCTTGATATTAAAACAGTGGTATTTACCTTTAAATCTTTTGTTTGAGAAAGGTGCAGGTTACTATACAGCACCAAGACAGACTCTTCTACCTATAGCCTTAGGGAAGGTTATTAAGTTAATGTACAAGTATCCACTTAACCACTTTGGTTCTAGCTAAATACCTTCAAGTGCTTCTGCACACGCTCGTTTTTCTCTGCCTCAGTGGTACGTTCCTCCTCACTGCGATCCTTGGTCATGGCATCAGCACGCAGATCAGCACTAGCTTCTGCTCCATTCTCATCCTGCTCATCCTGTTCATTCTCAGCAGGCTCTGCTACATGAGGAGTACTCATGGCAGTCTTCAATTCAGCACGAGTCTTCTCCAAGTCCGCTTGCACCATCTGAGCCTATCAAGTAAAAAGAGAAGAAAAATAACTGGAAGTCAGACCAAGCTAACTTGTGGTTAAACTACTTGGGCCTACAAAGGCCCAGCAAGAGCTTGGTAGGCAAAATTGCTCCATTTGTCTTATCCTAAATTTCCTCTGCTCTACAACAGAAACAACTGTAGAAATTTTCCTGGGGATACATAATTCTGCTAAGTACTAAAAGAAGCCTTTAGCGTTTTTACCCATATTTCTCACTCAGAAATGGAAAAAAGTTGGGGGGGAATTACAACACAAAGAATCTAAAAAAACAATGGCTCATATACAAGTAGCACCCCCTTCCTACAATACTTTACTCTGGATAATGTGTCTTACCTTCTGCTGCCATTCCACTGCCTCACTCTCCTTCTTCTGTCGAGCCATCTCCAGCTGGGAAATTCGTGCTGTAAGCTCTGCCATTTCTGAAGCCTATGGATAAATTGAATAATTCTGAGAATTATGTATTCAGATCCTTGGGGCCTAGGTGTCTTCAATGTTAGTTCCTTGAGAAACTAGAATTAGACGTACCACTCTCTTTTTGCATGCACCTTCATAATTTCCATATGTCCACTTCTATTCTTTAATCTACTATAGATATTTATTAACTCTAAACCATTTGTTTATAAGAGCTCCCAAACTAGACTGTAGACCTTCTAATGAAAAAACATATAATCTCTCTTTTTTCTTCTTTCTCTTCAATCTTATCCTCCCTCCCTCTCACTACACCTTCCCTCTCTCTTCTGGTACACTTCCTTGTCTCTCAATATTTTGACCACTGCACAATTAAGACCTGTGTAAAACTTTGAAACTCATCATGTCACTGCCTATAGTAGTAAGCCCTTCTCTATTATCCTAGAATACTCAGGAGACTACTAAAGACTCTTTCCATGAATAGACATAAGAAGTACTTTTAAATATCACAACATGAGTCTTCTCCCTGAGAATTAGATTTTGGATCCCGTACCTCCACTCTAAATAGTATAAGGTAAGATCCTATGTCAAGGAATTTGGACCACAGAAGTTGAGAATCCTTTAAAATTGTGATGGATGAGGGAATAATACAATGACAACGTAAGAAAATCCTGAGATTCTGCCAACAGAACTGAGTATCAAGCAAGGTAGGTAATAAATGAAAAAGAATGATGAAAGGGATGCTGGTAGAAAGATACTGGCACTATGGTGGTGAATGTGATAAAGTAACATAATGCCTAGTTTGCAAATATTAATACTATCATGAATCATAATGCATCAATTTTAAAAAAAGAAAACTGTACTGATAATATGCATGCTCCCCCCCCCCCCCCCGCCTTCCCTGAAAAAAATGCATACACACAGCTTCTACATTATTTTAAGAAGTATTCCCTTCAAATAGAGACAGAAATGGGTCCTCAACCTTACTTGGTCATAACATGACCACTGGTAGGATTTTTAAAGTTCTTATCTGAGCATATTATCTTGAGTTAATATTATCTATAAATTATTAAATTAATCTCATAAGGTTAATGGAAAGAACAAATAGGTAAGGCAAGGAGAAAAGTTGTTAGGATAGTTTTTAACACATAATAGGTAGAAAATCAAATGTGAATCTCTTCTTTTCTTTTTCCCTTTCCTTATCAGATCATAAGTTCATACCAGTAAGGGATAGAAATGTGGAGTAAAAGTAAGAGTTAGGGTACCAGATAGATAGTGCAGAGGTTAAGGCACTTTTCTTGCACATAGCTGAACCCAGTTCATTCCTGGAATTGAATGGTGCCCCAAGTGCCACCCAGAGGACCACAGAGAGCAAAGTAAGCTCTGGCACAGCCAGGTGTGACCTCACGTACCCCCAAAGTAAAAGTTTGGGAAGACTTTGTGAAGTTTCTAGACCACACCAGTGACTTTTCAGATTGTTTTATATAGAGGCCTGTACTGGATCCTGCTAGAAGGAGCCAGTCTGGTAGTAAGTGGTAGCTATGAAAATGTAGGCAAAAGAAGAGAAAAGCCCAGGACCCACAATCTCAGCCAAATTCAGTTGTATAAATTCAGAATTTATAGCTTTACCAGCTGTTCCTGAGTCTTCTTTTGGTCTCGGGAGGCCTGCAACAGGGCCTCCTTGGCCTCTTCAGCTTCTTGACGCTCCTTGGCCAGTTTTTCAGCTTCACTCTGGGCACGTTTCCGCTCCTGTTCAAGTTCAAGAGATCTGCGGGTCTGTTCCTCCAGTTCTGAGAAGAGAGGCAAAGGGAGACAAAAAGCACAGATATGAAAAAAACACTAAACTGGGGCTGGAGCGATAGTATAGCAGCTAAGGTGCTTGCCTTGCATGTGACGAACCCAGGTTCGACTCCTAGCATCCCATATGGTCTGCCAAGCACCACCAGGATTGATTCCTGAGTTCAGAACCAGGAATAACCCCTGGACACCACTGCTTGTGTAGCCATCCCCCCATAAAAAAGAAAAAAGAAAAAAGAAAAAAAAAACACTAAATTTCCTTCTTGGAAATGTTAAGCATGGGCACTGCTAACAGAAAGCTCTTTGAATTCTTTTTGTTCTATCCTTCATTGATTCAGTACCACAGATAGGTTATATGACCTCAATCTACAAATCAAGTACAAAGATCTCTAACTCAGAGTCAGACGTTGGGGAAACCTAAACATCAAAGTTACTCCAAGCCTATGCTAAGTGAAATTAAACAGAACAAGAGGGAGAAACATAGAATGACTGCACTAATTTCTGAAATATAAAGTAGCACAATATGGGACTAGCATTTAAGGACAGTAGAGATAAGGGCCAGGAGGACCATGCCATGGTTTGGAAGCCGGCTCTACATGCTTGGGGAAAAGACAGTTGAGATGTAGAAGGAACCACTAAGTAAATGATGGCTGGAGGAGATTGCCCAGGATGGGAGATGTGTACTGAAAGTAGACTAAAGACCAAACTTGATGGCCTCTTATCTCTATTGCAAATCATAATGCTCAAATTAGAGAGAGAGTAAGAAGGATTTAACCTGCCACAGAGGCAGGGAGTGGGGTGGGGTGGGGTGGGGTAGTGGGTGGGACACTAGGAACAATGGTGGTGGAAAATGTGCATTGGTGGAGGGATGGGTGCTAGAAAATTGTGTGACTGAAACATATTCATGCTAGTTTGTGACTGTATCTCACGGTGATCCAATAAAACTTCTTTAAAAAAGTTACTCAAGCCTTACCTTGCTGAGCTTTTTTAGTCTGTTCCTCAATCTGCTTTAACTTTTCCATTAGTTCCTCCTTTTCCCGTTCAATCTTCTCCTTCTCCTTTTCTGCCAGTTCACGCTTCTTCTTCTCATTTTCCAGGAGGGCACTATTCCAGGAGAAAGAAGGAATGAAACAGAATAACAAGACCACATAAAAACCTTAAGATACCCAATGTTTCATGGTCTTGAACACTCAAACTACACCCATTTGAGTAGCGAAATTTTGAGCCTTCCACGTTTATCTCCACACCCTCTATAGGCTCTGGGTCCTGTCAATTGCCACAAAATCAGGAGCTCCAACCAGGAAGTAAGCAGTGAACCATAGAAGTGACCTTAACTATGTCACCACTTGGTTTTTGTTTCTCAGTATCCTCATCTATCAAATAACCCATAAGTTTTTCCCCGCTTGCCCCTGCAATTATAGGTAAGTTAGTTTTAGCTGTGTGCTGGGATACTGTACTTCATGTCTGGCAATCTCCATGGCTAAAGCATTAAGTTAGACATTGACTCTGCCTGCCTTCTGCATGGATCAAGGTTTCTTTTATCCTAGAATTTGTTGTAAATCTAAGACTTGCTTCCTCTTAAAAGTAACCCTCTTGGGGTCAGGGCAATATTACATTAGGTAGGGTATAGCAGGTAGTGCATCTGCCTTGCATGTGGCCGACCCAGGTTTGATTCTGATCACCCCATACGGTCCCCTAGCATGCCAGTAGTAATACCTGAGCACAGAGCCAGAAGTGAGCTCCAAGATGAAGAGCAGAAAACCTTCACACATGGCAGAATATGGAAAAATGCCTCAAATAAGTGAATAGCTGACAAGAGAATGTTGTAATGAATTCAAGAGAAATAGCATAAGAATCATCAGGGGCCCAGAGGGCTAGAAAGGCAACCCTGGTGAAGAAGCAACAGTCAAAGACATCATTATCGAGAAGTTCCCAGAGCTGAAAAGTGGATGCGCCCTGATCTAAGAGAAATAAACAGTACCAGATAAAAGACACCCAAGAACATTTTGTGCTCCTAGAAATATACTAATTAGAATGATGAAATTTATAGAGAGAATACTGAAAGCCGCAAGGTCAAAGAAGGAAATTATACACAAAGGAATATTCTTAAGATTTACTGCAGATTTATCACATGAAAACCTCCAGCCCAAAGAGAGTGGGAGGACATAGTTAAAAAAACTCAATGAAATTAATGTCCCTCCAAGAATACCTTACCCAGCTAGAATCTTATTCTGAGTTGAATGAACAACATACAGTTTCACAGATCAACAACAACTCAGGAACTTTACAGAATTGAAGCCATCTTTACAAGAAGAACTAAAGTGGCTACATTAATACAACCATGCCAAATACCTGCATAATGATGGCAAAGAACTCCAAAATAACCTTGCTCTATGTCAATGGACTAAATATGAAAAGTAAATACTACACAGAGTGTCAAGAACTGTTAGACAATTGAAACTAAATTTCTGCTTCCTTCACGAAACACATTTGATTGGTCAGAGCAAACACAAACTCAAAGTCAGTGGTTCAAATTCAAAGTCAAAGTTCAAAGTCAAAGATAATTCTTCAAGCAAGCAACCTTCTCAAAGAGGCTGAAGTGGCTATACTAGTATCAGAGAACAAAGACTTCTAGCTGTAAAATGTTATAAGAGACAGTGAAGGTTATTCTTAATGATCAAGGGGTACATACATCAGGTATAAATCACACTCCTAAATGTATATACACCTAATGAGGAACCAGTAAAATTCTTCAAAAATTGCTAGTAGACTTTTAAAAAGACATTGACAGCAACACAATAATGCTAGGAGATTTCAAAACCACTTTTTCACATTTTATATAAACTAAAGTTTATCTAAGTAAGGTAATATTTGCTCTGAAAGAAGAAATGAAAGACATCTCTTTTTTTAACAATATTTTTTCTTTTTTTATTAGTGAAACACCATGAGGTACAGTTATAGACTTACTTATTTTGTGCTTGGGTTTCAGTTATACAATGATCAAGTACCTATCCCTCCACCAGTGCCCATCATCCACCACCACGGGTCCCAGCATCCCCCCATCCCCCGTCCCCCCCATCCCATCCTGCCTCTGTGGCAAGGTATTCCCCCTTGTTCTCTCTCTCTTCTTTTGGGTACTGTGTTTTGCAAGAGAGGCATTGAGTGGCAATCATGTTTGGTCTATAGACTACTTTTAGGATGTTTCTCCCACCCTTGGAGGGTCCTCACAACACCCTTTATTTGGTACTCTCTTCTCTATCTGAGCTTCCTTTTTACCTAGCACGTGTGGCTGGCCTTCCAGTCATGGAGCAATATTCCTGGTACTAATCTCAGCCATTCCTGGGTGTTAGTCTCCCTTTTTGTTGCTTTATGTTCCCCAGATGAATGCAATCTTTCTGTGTCTATCCCGTTCTTTCTGACTCATTTCGCTTAACATGATACTTTCCATGTAGTACCACTTGTATGTAAATTTCATAACTTCATCTTTTCTAACAGCTACATAGTACTCCATTGTGTAAATGTACCAAAGTTTCTTTAACCAGTCATCTGCTCTTGGGCACTCAGGTTTTTTCCAGATTCTGGCTATTGTAAAGAGTGCTGCAATGAACAAACAATTGCAGATGTGAAAGACATCTCTTTAACACAAACACACACATATACAAACACAGTCTTTCATCCCCCAAAGTTGAATAACACATTCTTCTCTAATGCATATGGGACATTCTCCAAGATAGACCATAGACCATATGGTCAGCCACAAAACAAACTACACAAAATCAAGAGGATAGAAATCATACAAACTGCCTTTTCAGATCATGATGCTCTGAAAATAGAAGTAGATGCACAAAATAGATGCATAAATAGAAGCAGAAAAACAATTCAAACACCTGGAAATTAAATAGCTCTTCCTGAACAACCAGTTAGAGAGGAAATCAAAAAGGAAATTTAAAGATGATGGAAACAAAAAAGAAGGAGAACATGACCTAGCAGAACTTGTAGGACAGAGAACAAACTTTATAAATTTTAGGAGGAAAGTTTATAACTATGCAAGCATTCATCAGGATGGAAGAAAGGTCTCACATAAATAATTTTACTGCACAATTTAAGAAACTGTAACATACAGATACCTTTACCTACTTTTAATACTTAGTTCTTCTCCAGCGTGATCAATTCCAACTGTTACTGTCATACTGGTCCCTTCTCTATCTTACCTACCCTCTGCCCCCACACACACTTGTGGTTGATTCCAACCATTCACCTGTCCTTCTAGCTCCTGTTTTCCCTGAATGAGGATAGCAGTCTTCTACTGTATAGTTTATAGACCAGTAATGAATGCAATCATTCTATCTGTCCCTCTCCTTCTGACTCACTTCACACATTTCATTTCACACGAAGAGTATAATACTCTCCATGTCTGTCCATTTATAGGCAAATTTCATGACTTCATTTTTCCTAACAGCTCCGCAGTATTCCATTGTGTAGATGTGCCATAGTTTCTTGATCTATTTGTCTGTTCTCGATTCAGGTTATTTACTGGTTCTGGCTATTGTGAATACTCTTGCAACCCATGATGCCCAAAAAGAAAGAGAGAGACAGACAGACAGACAGACAGACAGACAAAAGAAAGGTTCCTGTCATAGAGGCAGGCTGTGGGGGAGGTGATGGGAGGAAAAGTAGGGACACTGATGCTTGGAAACATACACTGGTGAAGGGATGGGTGTTTAATCACTATATGAATGAAACTTAATCATTAACAGCTATGTATCTCACTGTAATTCAATAAAAAAATCTTCAAAAAATAAACTTAATCAACTAAAGGAGACCATAGCGGACATGAGAAAGGAAATAATAAAACTCAGAGAAGTTAATAAACTGGAATCCCCCAAAACCACCCAAAAGGTCAATGAAATTAATAGTTCTTCAAAAAAAATTAAAAACCACTTTGATAAACCACTAGCAAGACTCACAAAGAAAGAGAGAAAGAATCCTAATAAACCAAATCAGAAATGAAAGACGGGATATAACAATACTACAGAAGTTCAACTTATAATCGCAGATTATTTCAAGAAATTTATGACATTAAACATGAAAACCTAGAAGAAATTAATAAATTCTTGGACCTTTGTAATATTGCAAGGCTGAACCAAGATGATTTGCAATAACTGAACAGAACAATCACTGCTGAGGCAACTGATATGGTAATTAAACATCTTTCCAAAACTAAAAGCCCAGGCCCAGATGGATTCACTAATGAATTCTCCCAAGCCTTTAAAAATGACCTACTGCTAATCTTTTTCAGACTCTTTCAGGATACTGAAGAAATAAAAACACCCTCAAAATATTTTATAAAGCAAATATCACCCTGATAACAAAAATAAACAGATAAACCACCAAAAAGGGAACTACGGGCCAATACCCTTGATGAACAGAGATGCAAATATCCTCAAAAATATATAGCAAATAGGTTCTAACAATTCATCAAAAGATCATACAATATGGCCAAGTAGGAGTCATCCCTGGGATGCAAGGATGGTTTAACATACCATATCAATAAAATTTTTAAAAATCATATGATCATATCAATTGATCATATCAATTGCAAAATAATTAGTTGACAAGATCCAGCACGTATTAATGATGAAATATCATCGAAATAGGAGTTGAAGGAAAATTCCCCAATATAGTCAAAGCTATCTACCAAAAGGACCCTGAAAACATTATACTTAGTGGGGAAAAACTAAAAGCCTTTTTTGTAAGATGAGGCACAATACAAGATTTCCCACTCTCACCACTTATATTCAATACTGTACTGGAAGTACTGGCACTAGAAATTAGAAAAAAATACAACAAAGGAATCTAGATAAGCAAGAAAGAAATCAAGCTTTTGCTAGTTGCAGATGATATGATACTTTATTGAGAAAATCCTAAAGACTCTGCAAAAAAAGCTCTTATAAACAATATATTTGTAAAACGGCAGGCTACATTATAATTAGCAAAAGTTCATGGCATTCCTATATACAAATAGTGAAAGAGAAGATAGAGATATTAAAAAAGTAATCCCATTCACAATTGTGACTCAGAAAATCAAATATATTGGAAACAACTTAATTAAAGAGGTGAAAGACCTATATAAAGAAAACTACACAACACTAGTTCAAGAAATTAAAGAGGACATGAGCAAGTTTAACACATCACCTCCTCATGGGTTGGGAGGATTAATATCATTAAAATGGCAATCCCCCTCAAAGCATTGTACAGATTTAATGCATTTCCTACAAGAATACCCATGTTACTTTTCAGAGAAACAGCTTAAATACTCCTGAAATTCATATGGAACAATAACCTCACACTCCACCCTGAATACCTACAGCAATCCATGGGAAAATGAAGATGTGAGGCATCACTTTTCCTAACTTGAAAGTGGTAGTAATTAAGACATCATGGAGTTCGAATAAAGACAGACACTCAGATCAGTGGAATCATCTTGAATATCCTGAGACAAATTCTCAGGTATATAATCAGTTAATCTTTGATAAGGGAGCAAAAAATATATAATAGAGCAAGGAAAGTCCCTTCAACTATTGGTGCTGGGAAAACTGGCCACTGACATTCAAAAAATTAAACTCAGGAACCATGTCATACTACTGCCGCCATGAAAGCTCCTCTACTGGCATAGTTAGAAAGATAAATGAATTATGAGAAAGATTAAACTAGCCATAAAATTTTCTTGGATACCTGGTCATGATTGAGACTTCAGGAATAGTAGCAGACAAAGTTCCTGCCCTATAAAAGTAATAGCAACTGTACTCAAACCCCAACAGCCGCCACCATGCCTCAGGCTGGACTCCACCACCTTAACTGAGTTCCAGAAAGATGCTAACATGTTAAAAATATCAAGTAATACAAGGTTTCTTTTTGGATGAAAACTCCATTCCTTGTCAGAGTTGGAATGTGTACCACTACCTCAACTTCAGATGACTTCCCCTCACCTCCATGTACTTCCAGAAGTCCCAAGAGTCACACCCATATCTCACTACTGCTTCCATGTATGCTCATCTACCAGCCTTGTTCCAGACACTCATAAATGAATCTTGAAAGACACCACCTATTCACAATATTTCTCGGTTACCTAGTCCCAGCTGAGACCTCTGGGTGATCTCAGGAGGAGAGAGAGCAAATTTCCCATCCTATCAAAGCTCTGGCAGCCACACTCACATCCCAACAACCACCACCATCCCACCATCTGGACTGCTCGCTTAAATACTATGGATAGAGTGCGACTACATTTGTGGTTTTGTAACATCTCCAAACCCTACAATACTAACATCACAGAAGGAGGACACCAGATTGGATGGAATGTAATGTAGAAGAAAACTAATAACAATTAACAAACACATTAACACAGAAGACTTAATTTGCACCAACAGCTGAGTAAACCCTCAGACAAAAACTTAAAATGTCCTCAGGGTGAGATGCAACACTTTCCACAAATTTTCCTTTACTGAAATACTTTTTGATCATCCCATTAGCCATTTAATGGTAACAAGCAATATAAAATAAATTTTTGTGGGCCCGCTACAAGGGCAGGCTTGAGGGGTGTATTGGAAAATGTAGATACTGGTGTGCAGAAGGTGACAGTGATGGTGGGATTGGTGTTGGAATACTGAATGCTTGTAACAAGTCATCATGAACAACTGTGTAAAACATGGTGTTTAAATAAAGTCGGGGGAAAATAAACTCAGACCTCTTCCAAACACTATGCACAAAAATCAGATAAAAATGAATTAAGAACCTCAATATCAGACCAGAATCTACAACATACATAGAGGAAAACAGCCTGTAGACAGAACTCTCCATGACATTGAAGCTAAAGGTATCTTCAAGAATGAAATAAAACTGACCAAACAAGTGGAATCAAAGATAAACAAAAGGGAATACATTGCATTAAGAAGCTTTTGTACTTCAAAGGTAAGGATTGCCAGGATATAAGAATGACCAGTCATAGATGTGAAATATTATGTACCCAACACTCATCTGATAAGGGGTTAATATCAAAGATACATAAGGCACTGATAGAACTTTACAAGAAAAAAAACATTCAACATCATCAAAAATTGTGAATTTGAGATGAATAGAAACTTTCTTTTTTTTCTTTTTTTCAACATTTTATTTTATTTTATATTATTTTATTTTTTAATGAGATGAATAGAAACTTTCTTAATGAAGAAATACAAATGGTCAAAGGCACAGGAAAAAATGCACTACATCACTAATCATCAGAGAAATGTAAATCAAAACAACATTGAGATATCTTCTCACACCACAGAGGATGGCACAAAGAAAAAGAGCAAGAATAACTAGTGCTACACAGATGTGAGGAAAAAGGAGCTCTTATTCACTGCTAGTATGAACATCAACTGGGCCCATTTTTTTTTGGAAAACAATACAGACATTCCTCAAAAAACTAGAAATTGAATTTCCTCACGACTTAGCAATACTGCTCCTGAAAATATAATATAGGAGCCAAAAAAAAAACAGCAGATAAGCCATTTGCACTCCTATATTCACTGCAGCACTATTCACAATTGCTAGAATTTGGAAACAACCTAAGTATCCTAGAACATATGACTGGATAAAGAAACTATGGCACATATACACAATGGAATGTTACACATCTATTAGTAAAAATGAAGTCATAAAATTCACTAATACATGGATGGACATGGCAAGCATCATGCTAAGTTAAATGAAAGGAACAGACATAGAATGACTGCACTCATTTGAATGATATAAAATATACACTGTGAGAATAATACCTAAAGACCATATAGATGAGGACCAGGAAGATGGGTGCATGATAGGAAGATTGCCACAAGTTGTGAGGGAGAGCAGTTAAGACAGAGAAGGGACCACTAATTGAAATGATCACTTGGGATAAAAACTGTTTTGAAAGGAGGTAAAGTGATATGTAACATTTCAGTAACAGTGGTGCAAATCGTAATGCCTATGGAAAGAGAGAGAGAGATAGAAAGAGAAGAAAAGTATCTGCCATGGAGGCAGGCAGGGGGAGAAAAACTGGAGACATTGGTGGCAGGAAATGTACACTGGTGAAGGATGGGCGTTAGAACATTGTATGACTGAACCTCAATCATGAGCAAATTTGCAACTGTGTATCTCATTATGATACAATTTTAAAAAATGAAAAAATGCACCTGTCAAGGAGGCAGGCTTGGGGGTAGAAGGGAACTTGCAGACACTAGTGGAGAGAAGTTGATACTGATAATGGGATTGGTGCTGTGATACTGTATGCCTGAAACTCTACTATGAGTGACTTTGTAAATCACAGTATTTTAATAAAGAAAAATTTTAAAGTTCTTACAGAGTCCAAGACTGCATGTGTTCAGAATACTTTTATCGTTATTGAAAATCATCTACATTTTACCTGAAATGAAGGTGTCTAATATTTCATCAAACGGGTATATATACCTTGCTCTCTCCACCAAGTTCTAGGATAGTTTTATGCCCTATTGTAGGAGGCTTGAGAAAAGTCTCCATGGCCTGATCCTTGCCTCTACCCTAGCTATGCAGCACATACCGCTCCATCTGCTTCTGGTGCTTCTCCTCCCGAGCTTGTGCCTTCATCTGCTGCACCTCAATTGTGTCAGGTTTGCGGCGTCGCATGTATAGCTCATGGTTCCCCATGCACAAGGCCAAGATTCGCTTGTTAATCCTCAGTCGGGGAGCATAGAATACAAAGTCCTGGTGAAAGTTCAGAATCAAAAAGGGTTTGTAAAGAGAAATAAAGATGAACTTCCATCTTTTGAAAAGCAAATTCCAAAAGTACTGGAAAGATTATTTAACCCAGTTTCGCATGTTGCATATGGGAAGACTAATGATACGTCTTGCCAACGTCAAACAACAGGTTCTCAGGACTAGAGCTGCAGCTTTTTGTCTTTAACATCATTACTTTCTACCAATCTTTAACCTACTTAAAATGTTTGCTTATTTTTTAAAAAAAATCTTAAAATACTCTCAATCTAATTTAAAGATCCTTACTAATTTTATCTGCCAAGTGGAGTTCCCGTTGAGTGTCAGGATATAAAATAATCCCTTCATATTACTCTGATGAGGTCAGAGAGAGTTTTAGATGCTTGCCATGGAGTCCCCAGCACCATATTGCCCTCTGAGCACTTCTATGAGTGACCTCTGAGCAGAGAGCTAAAAAAAACCCTCTGGGTACCATAAGGTGTGGCCCCGAAATAACCCTTCCAAAACATTCTGGTGAATATAATATGAGTGGGTTAACCATTTATGCAATCCTTAAGATATATACTAGACCCAGATGCTCCGATCTTCTATAGAGTAAGACAGGTTTTAAATATACATAAGTATATAGTTATCTCAAACATAAATGATCCTAGTTATTTTTAAGTAAGGCCTGATCTCAGATAACCCTGTTACTTTTTGAATAAAGATGAAACTAGCTGCACACACTTGCATACACACATGAAAATATAGTGTTTGAATTTGTCACCCCACATACTGTTGAACCAAGGTCTTCAACTGACGGCAAATGATAACTTCTCTGTCACTGAACCCAAAATGCTACCATCTCCTCATAACCTGAAGTATAAAAGGAGAAAATGACCCAGGTATAAATTTGACCTCTATCATTTTTAACTGTGTGATCTTGGGAAAATGATCTCTTTAAATCTCAGTTTCATCACTTATAAACTGGGTGTGCTCCAAACTACCTGACATTGTTGTTAAGAGTTTAAGGTAGCAACATAAAAAAGAGCATAGCAGGGGAGATTGGAAGACCTCAGGACTAGAGAAGATTATTTGAGACCTCATGAGAAGTGAACATTACCAGTGAGCCTTGTTGAACATGAGGTATACCAAAAAGAGAGAGAAGAACGCCATTTTATTTTCTATTCTACTTCCAATCACTAGCTTTCAGAGCTTGTCAGCCACTGACAACTGAACAGTTTTGAGTATCAAGACCAGCAGGTTAGAGGAATAACTGTACTAAAACCATTTTCTTTTTCTTGGATTTCTTTGGCTTGTAGACAGTAGCAAAGTTATACCAAAAATCAAATTTGAATATTAGCTTTGGATTTGGACTTCCCATAACTCTGTCATTTCTCCATAATTAGTGATAAATTAAGCACATGAAGAGTCTCCACTTTCTGGAAGCTATAAGATTTAATACATAAGACATACTTTGTTTCCACTTCAGAGCCCAAGCCAGGATAGCAAAAGATAGTGACTAAGAAATAATTCTTAGTTTCTGTGTCTTTCCCTCAATACACTCACTCCTCTAAAGACAAAAGTGGCAGAGTGGCACCAGGTATAGGATACTTCCTAACCATTTCTTGACATCATCATACCTTCAATCACCAACCCTTTTTTGTGCCTTCTATTCTCACACACACAAAAAAAAAAACACAAAAAGCTAGGAAAGAGAGAGAAAATCACAAACAATGAACTGTAGCCAATTCATTTTCCATATCTTTGTTAGTGGGAAGTTACTCACCGGAGCTTTTTTGTCAATCGGTTTGATGACAAATTTCTTGTCATTGAAAGAAATATTCCTGATTTCACTCCATGGGAAACCTATCTTTGGAGTCAGTCTGTAGACACAGAGGAAAATAATATCAAATCAGCAGCAATATAAGATTAACATAGAGGGTGAATATGTTGCTCTCCAACTTCTCTCAAGTAGAGGGAAGCAGAATTACTGCCAGCTCAATCAGTGTCCTAACATGTCACAAAGTCAATTGCCAGAATTGAGAGTATACAGAGGACCTCTGAGACTACAAACAACATAGTAGTCACTCTCCAAGTCTCTGAGGTTTTATTGTATTTTGGTTAAGGAATGAACCTTTTGACAATCTCACAAGAATCCCCGCTGTATTTAACTAAAATCCAGAATTGTAAAAGTTGAGGAAAGGTTGGTTAATCATAAGCTTCAAGAAACAAAATTTACTGAGAACAATAATCTATTCATCTCCATCCTCATCAAGAGTACACTAAGGAAAGAAACAAACAAGTGAGATAAGGCTATAGCAAAAGCAATCATTGGCTGAAAGATACTTAGCCATCAGACAACAATGAGTCTAATTACAAATCCTGACACAGTAAGTTCTACGTCATTGTTGTCCAGTACATATAAGACATTCATAGGTGTAGTTCTCAATTTCCCATGAAATTGGGTTATAAAAACAAGTAAAAAGAGGTGTAATTAATTTTAATAAAATTTTATTTAAGCCAACATATATAAAATACTGTAATTTGAAAATGATAACCAATTGTAATAAGTATAATTAACAAAATTTGCATTTTATTTTTAAACTTTTGCATTTTATGTTTACACTTAAAAATCTTGAAAGTCCAGTGTATAGTTTACACTTGCATCTCACCTTAATTAAGAGTAGGCATATTTCAAATGTTCAATGATCATGTGTGGTCACTGACCATTACCAAAATGAATAGTGTAAGTCTAGTCAACGCAAGATTTAAAGGTGTTAAGGACGTTGTGCAATCATCAAGGCAGAACTAAATTATATAAGCAAATATAAACAACGGTTCAGGTTGGACACAACAGGTAATTTATGGGAAGAGACAACTCTTTGGTTTCAGTAGCACAAATAAACGGAGTTCTGAGCTATACCTGTCATTCTGCTCATAGATGTTGAGACCCAAAGCATCCACCCCAAGCCAAAGTTCTGATCCTTTCTTGTTCTTGATGCTGAAGTAGTTTACTCCATACATCTCCAGGTCCTGGGCAATCTTCAGATACTCTAGTACAGCATCTTCCCTAAACAAACGAAGGGGAATTTATAGAGGCTTGTAAACAAAACCCAAGGAGATAGAAAGCCAGTCTTTTCTGTACTTCTGAAAAGGATCATGCCATTAGGAGTGACAGGCTGAGTACTAAATGAATTTCTATGAATAGGAAATGAATTCCTACTGATAGAATGTAAGGTCTTAAGCTCCCAAGGGTAATAAGACACTAAGTTGACTCTTGATTATCTCTGGCATGTTAGCTTCCTGCAAGTAATTTTATTTCTCTTGTTCATTGTGACAGACTATTATACTGATACATACTTAGTAGAGCCCATATAGGGTGTTGGTGACAACATCTAAATGGTCTGTCATGTTTGAAGAACACTATGCTGGGGCTGGAGCAATAGTATACTGTGAAGTCCATCTACCACGTATGTAGCTGACCCGGGTTCAATCCCCAGCAACACACCATGTGGTCCTTCAAGCCAGTCAGGAGTGATACATGAGCCAGGAGTAAATCCTGAGCACAGATGATTGTTGTCCCCAAACAAAAAAATAATTAAAGAGCACTGCTCCAATTTCTTTGTGGGGAATAGCCCCTGGTGGCCTAGAAGCTTCCTAAGGATCCTGAGGTCTCTTCCATTTCTTTTAGTGTTATCAGTTGCCATCAATCACATGCATAAAAATATAGCTTTTTAAGGGTTCTAATTCACCTTTTTTATTTTCTTCACAAAGTGCATTTCCTTACCTCTTCTAGAATTTTCCAGTAATCTAGTCCTCTGAATCTTTCCCCCATTATCAGTACTTATTTACTCCAAAGAGTAGCAAGGCTACAGTTACAAGACCAGGTTTACCTGAGCATGCCACGGTGTTCCTCATGCCACACCTGGATCCGTTCCTCCCACTGGTCCTTATTCAGTTTGTGCTGCTCCAAGACTCTGTAAATAGTCATGAATAGTTTAAAGCACAATGCTTAAATGAAGTGGGGAAGAAAAGTTCATTTCGCTCTTTAAGGAATTGATGAAAAGAGAATGTAGAATCAGTCCACTGAAGTCCTACTGAAAACAGACAAATTACAGCAGATGATGGGGCTGGAGTGATAGCACAGTGGGTAGGGCATTTGCCTTGCATGCAGCCTGACCCGGGTTCAAGTCCCAGCATCCCATATGGTCCCCTGGGCACGGCCAGGAGTAATTCCTGAGAGCATGAACCAGGAGTGACCCCCGTGCATCGCCCTGTGTGACCCAGAAAGCAAAAAAATAATAAATTACAGCATATGGCAGGGCTGGAGTGATAGCACAGAGGGCAGGTCATTTGCCTTGCAGCCAACATGGCCAACCTGAGTTTGATTCCTCCTCCCCTCGTGGAGAGCCTGGCAAGCTACGGAGAGTATCTCACCTGCAAGGCAAATCCTGGCAAGCTCCCCATGATGTATTTGTTATGCCAAACACAGTAACAACAAGTCTCACAACGGAGACGTTACTGGGCCCGCTCGAGCAAATTGATGAACAACGGGAGGACAGTGGTGTTAGTCAGACACAAAAAAACTACCTGACAACTAGGAGACACACAAAAATGGGTGACTAAAACAGTGGTAACAACTTTCTTTGTATTTTTGTTTGTTTTGGTGCCAAAAAAATAATAAATTACAGCATATGGAAGGGCTGGAGTGATAGCACAGAGGGCAGGTCATTTGCCTTGCAAGCAGCCAACATGGCCAACCTGAGTTTGATTCCTCCTCCCCTCTCAGAGAGCCCGGCAAGCTGCTGAGAGTATCTCGCCTGCACGGCAGAGCCTGGCAAGCCACCCATGATGTTTTCGATATGCCAAACACAGTAACAACAAAGTCTCCAATGGAGACGTTACTGGGCCCGCTCGAGCAAATTGATGAACAACGGGAGGGCCTTTACCTTACCTTTACCTTTGGTGCCATAACTGACAGTGTTCAGGAATTACAACTGGCGTTGTGCATAGGAATCACTCCTGGTGTTGATCAGGGAACCATAGGCAGTGTCAGAGATCAAATTGGGATCAGCTACATGCAAGGGAAGTATATTAACCCCTGTACTATTTTCCGGTCCATTCCTTCATGTGTATAACAATAAAACTCAATATTTTGTGGTCTCTAGAACAAAGCAGTAATGTGTCAGGAGTCGCTAAATTATGGAACTAGGTAGGCATGGGTTTCTTTTATATGTGTACACTGTTTTAGTTATTGTGGTACCAGCAGATGTATGTGAGAGCATTGCCATGGCTATAAGATAACAATAAATTTCTATAGAACAGATAGCTAAAGTCAAAAAATGGTTTTGGAAGAAACCAACAGTTAAAACCACCGATATATAATATATTAATCACTTAATCACTTAATCACTTAATCCCCGTTATTCATCGATTTATTCGAGCGGGTGCCAGTAACGTCTCCATTCATCCCGGTTGCGTGCTAGCGTAGCCCAATGGTATCTGTTCGTTTTAGGAACATGTAGAGCCTCAAACCGATCATTTAGGGTCTTGACGAAGAAGTCTGACCATCTTATAGGTGGGCGTCCACGTGATCTTTTGATGTCTCGTGGAATCCAATCAGTAATGGCTCTAGTCCAGCGGTTGTCTGTAAACCTCATTACATGTCCAGCCCATCTGATTTTTGATGTCTTGGCAAATGAGACAGCGTCTCTGATTCTTGAGCGTTGACGAAGATCAGAACTCCGGATTCTATCTCTCATTGAGTGAATCGTGATATTCCAAGCATATTTCTTTCGATTCCTCTTTGAGAGACCCGAATAGTGTTCTCATCCTGTTTTCGTAGGGTCCAGGTCTCTGAGGCATATGTTAATGCAGGAAGAATAGTGGAATCAAAGAGATGTGCTCGTAGCTGGAGGTTCTTTGTCCTTTTAGTTATTTCTTCAATGCTCTTGAAGGCATTCCAAGCCGCTCTCTTCCTCCTGCGTAACTCAGGTGCCAGGTCATTCATCATGTTGATTTCTCGACCTAAGTATATATAACTGTTGCATTCGGAGATGGTGGTTCCGTTGAGAGCGAATGGAGCGTCAGGAACAAGGCTGTTTCTCATAAACATTGTCTTCGTAAGATTCAGCTGTAGTCCGACCTTTCCACACTCACGGTCAAAGTCCACAAGCATTTGTGCCGCTTGGCTGATGTTTGGTGTTATTAGAACGATGTCATCAGCAAAGCGGAGGTGGTGTAGTTGCCGACCATCTATCTTCACTCCCATGTTTTCCCATTCTAGTCGTCGCATGATGTTCTCGAGGGTGGCACTGAAGAGTTTTGGTGAAATGGTATCACCCTGCCGAACCCCTCTCTTGATATGGATGATTACTTCTTTGTAGAATGGTGAGATCTTGGTAGTGAATCCTCAATAGAGCTCACGAAGGATCCTGATGTATTGAGTTTGTACGCCCTGATTGGCTAGGGCTTCCATGACCGCTTCCATCTCAACAGAATCAAAGGCCTTCTTTAAATCAATGAACGTTAGACAGAGCGGCATCTTGAACTCCCGAGATACCTCAATGAGCTTGGTTATTGTGTGGATATGGTCGATGGTACTGAATCCTTTTCGGAATCCAGCTTGTTCACATGGTTGTCCTTCATCTAGTGTTCTGCTAATCCTATTCAGGATGACTCGAGTGAATAGTTTGTAGATGACAGACAATAGGCAGATTGGGCGATAGTTGCCAATGTCGTGGATGTCTCCTTTCTTGTATAGTAGTACAGTCTTGCTGGTTTTCCATTGGGATGGAACCTTGCATTCAGACAGGTAGCGTGTGAAGAGTCGAGCTAATGTATTGATGAGTACTGATGGTAAGTTCTTCAGGTGTTCAGGTCTGATCTTGTCTGGGCCAGGTGCTTTTTGTTTCTTTTATAATATATTATAAAATAAAATTTGCTTTAAATATGGCATTTCAGATATCATGACATTGACTCCAGGTAGAGTCCCATGGCACAACCACTATTCCTAAAGCCTTCAGGTGAGCTGTGTTTATGTACATCTACAATTTCACCGAGGCTCCATGAACAAAGTAGAGCTTTCTAGTCTAATTCAGAAGTCTATGAAAATATCCACTGGATGCAGTAGAAAATAAATCAGGATTAATATATTAAGAGACGAGGTTTCCAGTTCTATCACTACCTCAAATGAGATGTGAGTGTTGGGATAAGTCAGAGCAAGCACCTTCACACCTCACAATACATGAGGATATGTTTCTGCCTTATTTATTTTGTGTGTTTGACAGTTTGAGTTCCCTACCTCCCTGACTTTCATATTTCTCTCTCCTCTGTGAACTCTGATATAAAAGTCTAAATTAATGAAAAGAATTATGAAAATAGAATCAGGAAGGGGAGGAAATATTTCCATCACTGGCTTTATATATAAGTACATATTTCTATGGTAATTAAGCTCTGTACTCAGGCAAATGTAGTTTTGGGGGATTATTTTGATATCCTGAGAAACAACAACCAGGATCGGAGCTATAAGCAAATGTCTCTGAAGCAGCATAACGAGGTTTTAAGGCAATCTGCTGCTAGCTGCTGAAAGGGATGTATGAACCGTGAGCTATATACCATTCTAGTTAAGACAGATGGCTATTACCTCTTGCTGGCACCAGATAATCTCATCATAGGTTCCCATCCAGATTGCATGGCTTTTTCTCCTAGAAGGGAGCAACATGATGCCCGCCATAGCCATGCCACCAGATACTGCATGAGGCTATTTCACTCAGGGCACCCAAGAAGGGGGCAGGTTGAGAGCCGTTCCCACCCCAAGGGACCCAGCCCCAGTGGCCATAAACCTCCATAACCCAAACTCTGTCATGCTCAAGGCCGCTCCCCACACTCGGTTCAAGCCTCACGCACAAGTGAACCTATTTCTGGACCCCTAGTGCAGCTGCTCAACACATTGTAAGACACAGCCTACCCATTCTCCAAGAGTACCACACCACATTTGATGGGGTTCAAATAGTAGGCAACCAATTATATATATACATAATTTCTGATATATATATGAAAGCTCTTATCACTTAACTTTTTAACAAACATGTTAGCAATATCATAAAGAATGTGTTATTGGCCCCTGCCAAAATAGAACAATCTTCACACTGTTTCCCCTATGGATACTTTTTTGTAGCATTTTCAGTGGTTTTTCACAACAGACAATACAAAATATATTATTTCAGTTGTTTTTTGGGACAGGGATTGGGACTTGGGATGGAAACATCTCAAATATTGTGGTGGGAAGGTGTAGTGGTGGCGGGATTGGTGTTTGAATATTAAATGTAATCAAATATTGTAAAGTACCTTATAAAATGAAAAACCTAAAAAAACACATGGCTATAAAGGGCAGGAGTGACTGGAGTTATAATACTGTGAGCAGGGTGTTTGCCTTGCATGCAGCCGACTCGAGTTCGATCCCCAGTATCCCATATTTTCCCCCAAGCACCACCAAGAGTAATTCCTGAGTGCAGAGCCAGGAATAACCCCTGAGCATCACTGGGTGTGATCCCCCTGCAAAAACAAACAAACAAAAAAACCAGATAGATGACTAGGATACCACCTCACCTCTGTGGCAGCAACTTGTCCCCAGCCAAGTACCCAGACTTGTGCACCTCCTTATTGAAGTCCCCGTACTTGGACTGGACAGCATACGATGCCAGCAGAACAGCAGTCTCAGGTGGACAGTAAATATCATCATTGAGGATGCCCTCCTTCACTTGCAGGAAAAACAGGCGTTGTGTGATGTCCTGGATTAGTTCTTCTGATACATCCTCAGGGTAGAATTTGGCCCGGAATTTGAAGAGTAAGGGGCTTTCCTTTCTTACATCCTGGGAAGTCACCTGGAAGCAGCAAGGGTTATGGGCTCAAATTTAGGAAACCGAGAGATAGTACAGAGTTAAGGTACATAAGTTGCATAGATAAAACTCTACTCTGACCTTGAGTACCCTAAGGTCCTTGGAGCATAGCTGGGTGCAACTGTAAAGGTTACTAAGCACTACCAGGGTGAAAGGTCCAGGTAAATCTCCAAAGCCTAAGTAGCAATGCATCCTCAAGTCCTCACACTGAATCACAAAAAGTAGTTTGGGGATGTGAGAGAATAGCTACAATAGCTATAACATATTGAAAGGTCATAAATTTGAACAATCTAAAAATCTGGGTGTCAAACTTTCTAAGATTTAAAAAAAGAGACAAATAATTTTCACTAGGGACTCAACCCCATGTCCATAGAGCTTCCAGTTAAGTATTCCTTCTTAGCAAATGTTTAGGAAAGCTCCTTTCAATTTTAAAAATATTTTAATTTAATTTTTTATTTAAAGGACCATGATTTGCAAACTTATTCATAGTTGAGTTTTAAACATGCAATTCTCTAGCATCAGTCCCACCAGCAGTGTAAATCTTGTAAACTTCCCTCCAACAGTGTTCCTAGGTCCCCTGCTATTGTTCACCTCCATGGGGCCTGCCACCTTGACAGCATATTTTTTTTCCCTTTATTTTATTTTATTTTTTTTTTACAGTTGTAGATTTACAATTTTTTGTGCTTTGGTTTCAATTATACAATGATCAGATACCCATCCCTCCACCAGTACCCATTTTCCACCACCATGGATAATATCCCTCCCACCCCCATCCCCCCACCCCCCCGTCTCTGTGGCAGGGCAATCCCCTGTGTTCTCTCTCTCCGTTTGGGTGTTGTGGTCTGCAAAAGAGGCATTGAGTGGCAAACATGTTCAGTCCATAGTCTACTTTCGACATGCATCTCCCCTCCTGGGAGGATCCTCCAAACATCCTTTATTTGGTGCTCCCTTCTCTATCTGAACTGCCCTTTCCTCTAGGATACCCGGCTGGCCTCTAAGTTATGGAGTAATCCTCCTGGTGCTGATCTCAGCTATTCTTGGGTATTAATCTCATACTTTGTTACTTTATATCCCCCAGATGAATGCAATCTTTCTATGTCTATCCCTCTCTTTCTGACTCATTTCGCTTAGCATGATACTTTCCATATTGTACCACTTGTATGTAAATTTCATGACTTCATCTTTTCTAACAGCTACATAGTACTCCATTGTGTAGATGTACCAAAGTTTCTTTAACCAGTCATCTGTTCTTGGGCATTCAGGTTTCTTCCAGTTTCTGGCTATTGTAAAGAGGACAGCATATTTTTTAATTTGGTTGGTGAAGTCTAAATCTTTTGTTTTCAATGTTGTTGACTCTGCAGTATGGATATTTAGCAATATCACTTCTTTATAAGACCTCCGGTTGCTTCCCATATATTTTTACTCCCCCTCCCTTCATTTCTATATTCTCTATTCTTTCCCTCCCTATATTTTAGGGCCAAGGGTGGATCTAGGCATTTCCACTTTCAAACATTGCATCCCCTCATCTAGTTACTCTATATATCACATTCTGTTTTTGTCCATTTTTGATCATTCTGTTTTTGACCATCTTCTGTCTTACTTCATTTAACATGATATCTTCCAGTTCAAGCCACATTGCAGTGAGATGCTTTTGAAAGACATCACCCAACTTAATAAATAAAAAAGATAAATACTAAGGTTTATGGTTGAGGCATAGGAATGGCAAGACAAGAACATAAACTAGACTGCTTTTTAAGATTTGAACTGACTCTTTTTTCCCTTCCATTGTTTACCTTTTGCTTTTATTTTTTAATTATTTAGTATCTATTATTTTATTTTTAATTTTATTTATTTATTTATTTTTATTTTTTTATTAGTAGGCTGGAGCGATAGCACAGCAGGTAGGGATTTGCTTTGCACACGGCTGAACTGGGTTCAATTCCTCCATCCCTCTCAGAGAGCCTGGCAAGCTATCGAGAGTATCCCACCTACATAGCAGAGCCTGGCAAGCTCCCCTGGCATATTCATATGCCAAAAACAGTAACAATAAGTCTCACAATTTGTTGTGAAATGTTGCTGGTGCCTGCTCGAGCAAATGGATTACAGTGCTACAGTGCTACAGTGCTTTTTTATTAGTGAATTACCCTGAGATACAGTTACAGACTTATAAACGTTTGTGCTTGTGTTTCAGTCATACAATGGTCGAGTATCCATTCCTCCACTGTTTCTTCAATTTCCTGGAAATGCTTGAGAAGAACTGGCAACAGTTCCCCTTTAAATGTTCAGAATTGGAAGACTTTTGATTACAGTTTCAATTTCCTTGATATTAATGGGTCTATTCGGGTATTCCAAATCTTCTTGGTTAAATCTTGGGAGATTATAGGAATCCAGGAATTTATCCATTTCTTCTAGGTTCTCTTGTTTCATGGCATACAGACTCTCAAAGCAGTCTCTGATGATATTTTAACTCACTTTCTTTGTGACTCTTGCTAGTGGTATATCAATATTGTTTATTTTCTCAAAGAACCAGCTCTTGAATTCATTGACCTTTGGGATTATTTTTTTGGGATTCCATATGAACTGACTTTTTTTTCTGTCATTAGGAGATATATGGCTGTATTTTGTTTTATTTATTTATTTATTTATTTTTATTAGTGAAACACCATGAGGTACAGTTATAGACTTACAAATTTTTGTGCTTCGGTTTCAGTTGTACAATGATCAAGTAACCATCCCTCCACCAGCGCCCATCATCCACCACCATAGGTCCCAGAATCCCTCCCACCCCCATCCCCCCAACCTATCCTGCCTCTGTGGCAGGACATTACCTTTTGTTTTCTCTCTCTCCTTTTGAGTCCTGTGATTTGCAAGAGAGGCATTGAGTGGCAATCATGTTTGGTCTATAGTCTACTTTCAGCATGCTTCTCCCACCCTGGGAGGATCCTCCCAATACCCTTTATTTGGTGCTCTCTTCTCTATCTGAGCTTCCTTTTCCCCTAGCACGTGTGGCTGGCCTCCAAGTCATGGAGAAAAATTCCTGGTACTAATCTCGGCCACTCCTGGGTGTTAGTCTCCCATTTTGTTGCTTTATGTTCCCCAGATGAATGCAATCTTTCTGTGTCTATCCCGCTCTTTCTGACTCATTTTGCTTAACATGATACTTTCCATGTAGTACCACTTGTATGTGAATTTCATGACTTCATCTTGTCTAACAGCTACATAGTACTCCATTGTGTAAATGTACCAAAGTTTCTTTAAATAGTCATCTGTTCTCGGGAACTCGGGTTTTTTTTTTCCAGATTCTGGCTATTGTAAACAGTGCTTCAATGAACAAACAAGTGCAGATGTCACTTCGAGTATACTTTTTTGCCTCTCTGGGATATATTCCTAGGAGTGGTATTGCTGGGTCAAATGGGAGATAAAATTGTAATTTTTTGAGAATCGTCCATATTGTTTTCCAAAAGGGTTGGACCAGTCGACATTCCCACAAGCAGTGAAGGAGGGTCCCTTTCTTGCCACATCCACGCCAGCATCGGTTGCTTTTGTTCTTTTGGATGTGGGCCAGTCTCTGTGGTGTGAAAGGATATCTCATTGTTGTTTTTATCTGCATCTCCCTGATGATTAGTGATATAGAGCATTTTCTCCTGTGCCTTTTAGCCATTTGGAGTCAACGGTCCAAATTCACCAATTAAGAGACACAGAGTGGCAAAATGGATTCAGAGACAGAACCTAACATTCTGCTGCCTACAAGAAACTCATCTCAACAGCCAGAGCAAACACAGACTCAAAGTCAAAGGATGGAACACAATCCTGCAAGCAAACAGCTCCCTCAAAAAAGCTGGGGTGGCCATACTAGTATCCAACAAAATTAATTTCACGTTGAAAAAGATTAGAAAGGACAGCAAAGGCTATTTTCTCTTCATCAAGTGATACGTACAACAGGAAGAAATCACACTCTTAAATGTATATACACTTAATGAGGAAACAGCTAAATATTTAAAACAGCTGCTAACAGATTTTAAGGAGGACATTGGTAGCAACACAATAGTAGCTGGAGATTTCAACATCGCCTTATCACCTCTGGATAGATCAACAGGAACAAAACTCAGCAAGGAAACATTGGCTTTGAAAGAAGAAATAGAAGAGAAAGGGCTTATAGACCTATACAGGGCTTTACACCTCCAAAAGAAAGAATACACATTCTTCTTCAGTGCACATGGAACATTTTCCAAAATAGAACATGTCCTAGGCCACTGAACTGACTCTTAATGGTTACAATTTGTCCAACAAAAATCTCCAGTGTTTGGAAAAGCAAGAAAGCAGGGAATCAATCTTCTACACATAATCAAGGAAACAAACCACAGGGCAGCATAGAGATCTACAAGGAGAAAGTGAGCCAGTTTGAGGGTACCAAGAATGAAGGACTGCAATGGTCCTGCAGAGCTGCTGCTTGGGAGTAAAGAGTATATAATCATTACCTAAGTTGGCGATTCACTTGGAAATGAAGAAACATGAAAGCATCTGCATGGGGTTCAGGCATCAATTGATAACTAGGGCCTGAGACAAAATAAGATTATGAAACCTTCAAGACTTTTTCTAATTTAATTAGAGACTCTAACTCTTAACAAAAATCTCAAAACCCTTGAGATTGAAAAGAAAAGTAGTATCAGTCTCCTCCTGAATGGCTGTGATCTCCAACAAGTCTTAGTTGACTGAATATGTGGCTCAGTGGTAAAGTTTTACAGGTCACAAGTTGGATCCTCAGCCTTTCCTCATACCTCCCAGTGTGATCCTGGCAGCATTGCCATTATGACCCCTGCACCACAAAATATCTTCAATTTCCAATGAACATGAAAATCAAAGTTTCAGAGCACTGAACGTCACAATAACATCAACAGAGAAGATAGAGGAAAACAAAATAAAAAACCAAATCAAGTCTGAGTTCAAAATAAGCAGGGTTGTTTTTCCTTTGTACACTTGCCATTCTTTCTAATAGATATCAAAATGTAGACAGAGCAAACATTTTTTAAATTTTATTGAATCACCATGAGATAGTTACAAGCTTTCATGTTTGGGTTACAATCACACAATGATCAAACACCCATCTTTCCTCCAGTGCACATTCCCTACCACCAATATCCCCGTTGTAGCCCCCCCCTTCCCCCCCTCCACCTCCATGGCAGATGATATTCCCCATACTCTCTCTGTCTACTTTTGGGCATTATGATTTGCAATGCAGATACTCAGAGGTTATCATATTTGGTCCATTATCTACTTTCAGCACACATATCCCATCCAGACCGGTTCATCAAGCCATCATTTTCTTAGTGATCCCTTCTCTATTCCAGCTGCCTTCTCCCCTTTGCTCATGAGGCAGGCTTCTAGCTATGGAGCAATCTTCCTGTCCCATGTATCTACTATCCTTTGGTGTCAGCCTCATGTTATGTTATTTTATACTTCACAAATAACTGCAGTCCTTCTATGTCTGTCCCTCTCTTTCTGACTCATTTCACTTAGCATGATACTTTCCATGTCTATCCATTTATAAACAAAGTTCATGACTTCATCTCTCCTGACAGCTGCATAGTATTCCATTGTGTAGATGTACCAAAGTTTCCTTAAACAGTCATCTGTTCTAGGGCACTTGGGTTGTTTCCAGATTTTGGCTGTTGTGAACAGTGCTGCAATGAACATATAGGTACAAATGTCATTTCTACTGTGCTTTTTTGCATCCTCGGGATATATTCCCAGAAGTGGTATTGTGGGGTCATATGGAAGCTCAATTTCTAGTTTTTGAAGGACTGTCCATAATTTTTTCCAGAAAGGCTGGACTAGTGGGCATTCCCATCAACAATGAAAGAGTGTCCCTTTTCCCCCACATCCACGCCAGCACTGGTTGCTTTTTGTTCTTTTGAATGTGTGCCATTTGACAGAGCAAACTTTGTCTTTGCTGAATGCTTTGCCCTTAATCTGATCTTGTGATAAACTGACAGGCCAATGAAAAATAATACCATATGCATCTTGAGTTTCCCATCTAGTACGGGTGAACCCCCTCAGTCAAATCTAGTAAAAGAATGAATCCCATAAGACTCCCATATGACATTATGAACCTACTGCTTGGTATTTACCCCCAACACACAAAAACATTCATTCATTTGAATAAATATATGCACACCTCTGTTCATTGCAGCACGTAGTAAAATAGTCAGGGGATGGAAACAACCAAGGTGCCCAATGAGAGAAGAGTGAAAAATGAACCTGTATTGTATATACACAACAGAATACTATGCAGCCACAAGAAATTATGAAATCATGTAATTTTCTACAACTTGGTTAAACTGGAGGATCTTATGTTAATTGAAGTCAGAAAAACAAAGAGAAATACTGGATGTTCTTATTAATCTAGTTCATAGAATTAAATTGTCTAGGGATTGCAAGGTATCAAAGGTGGGAAAAGTATTGGTTCTAGTACACAGGAGCAAAAATGCCAAGGAATGAGCAGATGGAGGGGTGTACAATAAAAGGAAGCCTGGAAATAATATAGTGGCAAGGGCCAGAGGTCTTGGGCTCCTGTACAGTAGAGGTAAGATATCTGTATATAGCTAAACCACTAGATGCAACAGGACTAAAAATATAGGATCACAATTACAATAATTAATCTTTAAACTGTATCTGTCAAGAAATCAGGATATGTTATGGAAGGAAACTTGGGGTCACTGGTGGAGGGATGGGGTCAAGGGTAGTGGGATAAGAGCTAGAAATACTGTATGCCTGAAACCCTATAGTAAACAACTTTATAATCAGTGTTTAAATAAAGCTTTTATTAAGGAATCATTTTCAAACTTGAGTGATGTTACCTTCTTATTGAGTTTCAGCCAAGTGGAGAAACCCTTAGTGTCCTGGTACTGCAAACCAAAAAACCAAACTTCCCTTAGGCCAATAGTTTTCACCACCTGAAAAATAAAATACAAAATAGCCATTTATTGAAAGCCTATGCCATGTCAGATACAGAGGATAGAAAAATAGAGAAAAAATGGTTCTTGATCTTAAAGGTTTAAAGTGCCTAGGATCTGAAAAGGAAATAAACTGAGTAAACAGTAAGAAAGTTATTTTTTGGATGTGAGGGCGATCTGGCTGAGATATCTGTTACCCCATTGGTTGCCAGCATTGATTCGGCTGATTTGACTGGCTAGGCAGATGTCCCCTTCCTTCCTCACCACTCCATGCTCATCCCTCCCAAAGCTGCATGCTTGCTTGAAGAGGACGGCTTTCCCTGAATAGAGATGGACAGGTCTTCTGTCAAGGGTATACGAGTAGCTGCGCTCCCTTGCTAGAACCTCCAAACAGCTCTCAAGAAAGTCATCTTTCAGTATGTATCTGCACAAAGTACTTCTGCTAATAGAGGTATGAATCTGTTATCACTGTGTACTACCACACAGTGATAAATTTATATCCATTATCTTCTTTAATTTTCTAATGGTCCTATAATGTAAAAATTAAGCCCATTTTATAGATAACAAAAGTAAATTGCAGAGAATGAAAGAGCGATCAAAGTTAGTTTTGAGGTTATGTTTTTGTTTTTTGTGGGGTAGGGCACATCCAGTGGTACTCCACGGATCATGTGGTGCTGGTGTGGGAGATTGAAACTAAGGTTTCTTAACGAGCTACATGCACTCCAGTCCTCTGAGTCACATTCCTAGGCAAAGAAAACTTTTTAAAAGAACCCCTTATCTCATCAGAGATCTAATATGGGTTCAATTAACAACTCTAATGATTTTTAACAGGACTTCACATGAATGGTTCGTTTAGGTGTAATTGGCAGAAATAATTAAGTTCGAATAATCAATTCAGTCCCATGAGATAAAGAAACACATTGTAGATGCTGAGTAGGGTTAGAAGGGCCATAATACTAGACCATAAGTGTGAGCAGGACAGAAACAGAACTGGTTTCCTATACCACGTGCTCAGTTGAACAAGATTAAAGACATCCAAATTAAAAAGGATTGTGCTAGACCATGCAGTCAGCCCTGTACAGTTGAGGAATGAACTCTTTAGCCTCTTTATAAAACATTACCACATTATCTTATTTTCATTGCCTTATCAGAACCCAAGCACCTTAAGCTTTTTAAGATCAAGAATCATTTTGGCTCTACTTTTCTATTCTCTGTGTCTGACACAGCATAGGTATAATTAGAGGAAGTTTATGGAGCCAAGGAGTTTTGGGATGTATAGGATCTCTGAGAAGTTAGACAAAGTAATCTCTAAAGCAAATATCAAAACATCAATGTCAGAATCAGTAGGAAATTTAATTAAACTTTTGATTTTTGTTTTTGGACCACAGCTTGCAGTGTTCAGGGCTCACTTCTGGTGTTGCTTGTGAGATCATATGCAGTGATACATATCCAACCAGGTTGATTATGTGCAAGGCAGGTGTCTTTTGTTTTATTTTCTGCCCCAGTGGTAAATTTTAATCTGTTTGATAAATACCTCTTCTGTTATGATCACTGAAATATCACATGCCATACAAATTTGCAACATGCTTAGGCTCTAGGGCTTAGAGAGGGGAGCAACAACTCTCAGTTTCCACTGATGTCCCAAAATGAGGACACTGTTGAGGGAAGGAAACTAAGAGAATTCAAACTTAAAAAAATTAGAAAATAAATGATCCCTGAATTCCAGGTAAAATAAAATCACTTCAATTATATTCAAAGTCCTAAGTTTTATTAGTTAACTTTTGACCTCATTTCTAGGATCTGAAAGGAGACCACCCTGTGAATGTTTCCAGCTTTGCTTCCAAACAAAACCTCCACTGCACAGGAAAGAGAAAACTCATCCTCTAATAACATATACTATCTAGTTTTAGTTCCAGGAATAAGATCTAAGGCTCCAGTACCTACCATCCTTATTATTCCACCCTAACAAATATCTCCAATGCTGATCCTTTCTTAGCTCTCTTTAACTCTAAACAACCAATAACTCTCTTTAACTCTAAACAACCAACCCATCTTACCTGAACTGGCTTTTCTCAAAACTGCTATGCAATACATTATTAAGGAGCAGAAAATAATATGTGCATGAGGGAAGGATATGAAGATATATGTAGATGACAAGTCAGAATTTCTTTATAGACCAAGACTTAACCTAAATTATTTATACAAGTTATATTGTTACTCTGTAAATATCTACATTTTAATAACAAAATATAAAAAATTTATAAGTAAAACCAATGCTCCAAGATACTATACCACATTCATTCCACAGCTGTTTACCTCCTAGAAACTGCCACATATACCTAGAGCGACTGGAATTCAGTTTGTACAACAATAGCTTTTGTGGATCTTCAGTGACAAAATGCACACACCCAAAACAGACTGAACTGTAAGGTTCAAGAAGCATAAAGTAGTAAATATGGTTCCAGCAAAGGAAAATAATTTTATCTAAGAAAATTCTCACTAATAACCAGGAATATCTGAATGTAAAAAAGAGCCGCCTTTGTCTCTGTCATGTACAGAAGCCACCTATATCTGAGGTCTGTAGATAGAAGGGAAGGTCAGGTGATTTCAGAGTGCAGAAACTAGCATAGTGTCTTAAACATGGTGAGCAACCCTATATAGGGTCACATAATTGAATGTGGAGGTAATGAAAAATTGACAAGAGTAAAACAGCAACAACCAACACCTAATTTATAATCAAGTATGTAATGATCTGAGGTGTTCTGGTGGCACTCATCTGCACTGTATTTCTCAGATAAAAAGGTGTTATAAGTGGGAAAGTTTAATAAGTCCTGCTCCACAGCATAAAACATACTCATTTGAAGTTCTAAGTTTGAGGAACCAATTTTTCCTACACTCTGAATGGGTACAACAAAGGGGAAATTAGACGATAATTGATGAAAAGTAATGAGAAAATTGGAACCACTATATGTCTTTGTTCAAATACCAATACAGTTCCTAGCTATATGACCTTAAACAGGTCTTTTCCCCTCTAAGCCTCAGTTCTCCACTATAATATAGTAGTATACCATAATATTCTATTGTCACTGTCACTGTCACTGTGCTCCCATTGTTCATCAAATTGCTCGAGCGGGCCCAGTAACATCTTCATTGTGACAATTGTTACTGTGTTTGGCATATCAAATACGTCACCAGTAGCTTGCCAGGCTTTGCCGTGAGGGCGAGATACTCTCGGTAGCTTATCAGGCTCTCCAAGAAGGGTGGAGGAATCGAACTTGGGTCGGCCATGTTGGCTGCTTGCAAGGCAAACATCCTACCCACTGTCCTAATTGCAATGATAAATGTAAGTTAAATTATGAAGTAAAAATGAATACAAGAGAAGAAGTGGTTGCTGCCTTTGATGCAGAATACAAAAATCCTAAGAACATTTACTGAGCCAGAAAAACTTCCTGATTTCATGATTCCCTCTTCTGAATTCCTGGGGTAATTTTAAAATATATTAATGTAGCCCTTAATAACAATAACCAAAACATACCAATCATTTTACTTATTAAAAGATTAAATACAAACAAACAAACACTGTCCTCCTGTTGTTCATAGATTTGCTCGAGGGGCCCAGTAACAACTCCATTTTGAGACTTGTTTTTACTGTGTTTGGTGTATTGAATACGTCATGGGTAGCTTGCCAGGCTTTGTTGTGCAGGTGAGATAATCTCGGTATTTTGCCAGGCTCTCCGAGAGGGGCAGAGGAATCGAACCCAGCTCGGCCAGGCTGGTGGCAGGCAAGGCAAACGCCCTACCACACTATGACAGCAAAATTCTGTGAGATCAATGTAATTACCATTTTACTGAAGAAAGTAAAGTACTAAGAAGTTAAATAAGACATGCAGGGTCACACAATTCTATTTAATCGTAGTAAGATAGAATGTAACCCAAGAATACCACCAAATGCCATATTCTATATGCCATCCCTAAACACATCCCAAGCCTTAAAGATAGCTCTTTTTAAAGATAGCTCTTTCTTCTACATGGGTACATGTACCTGGCTTCAATAAGTAAAGAAGTCGATGTTTCATGATGTTAGAGATAGTGCTTGATAGGTAGAGAAAGTTTCTTTGAAACACATTATACCTTTAATCAATATTGAATAAGTCACTGAATAGACCTCAACCACCAATTTATTTCATTGCAAGGCAGGTGCTTTGTATTAATTTCTCAAGCACTGAAGTAATTTTCAATTTTTTAAAATTTTTATTTAATTAAAGGGTCATGATTTAAAATACTATTGATAGATGAGTCTTAAGCATATGATATTCCAACATCAATCCCACCAGCAAGGCCAAATTTCCTCCATCATGGTGTAGATCTCATGTTTTCAGTGATGTTGAGTCTGTGCTTTTGTTATATAGCTATACATATCTCCCACTTTACTGGTATAACTGGGGGCTCTGACCCTCCTCCTTCATTATTTTATTTTCTCAATTTTCCTTCCCCCATCAATTTCTTCACTCTCCTTCTGTCTTCCTATTTTGGGGGTCAAGTGTGATCCAGGCACACCCACTTTATTATGTTACATATAAAATGCCTAGCAGAGGCATATTCCACTAATGTTTCTAGTCTCCCATGTCCAGGACCAGAAAAGGGCTTAAATCAGGACCACATAAGATACAGACTGTCAAAGTTAAGCTTTCCTTCTTTTTACTATTAAGGCTGGGGTCAACATTTCTGTTGACCTACCTCTTGAGGAGCAAGTAAAGGAGATCTCCAAGAAAAGCTTTGTAATGCAAGCTATGGGGAGAAGGAGGAAAGGAAGAAATGAGTTGCTTACCTGGTCAAACAGCTGCTTGCCAGTAGTATTGGGCTGGATGGCAAACTCCAGCTCTGCATCCATGGTGGTCACACGCACATTGATCTAGAATGACATCAAAGGGGGCTAGTTAATTCTCTGATTCTGTGCTTGGCAGAACCTGGGGCCAGTGTCTCTGTTCAACCATAGAGGAAGGAACTATAATGTTAAAACATGACTTAGATATTATTACAGAATAGGTAGAATACTTAAAAAATCTAGTTATTATTCCCAGGCAGCTTATTAAGAATTAGAGGGAGAAAAGTCTCAGAAGAACAAAATTTACCAAGTTGCAAATAAATGCAAATAAGCTTATTATCAAATGGAAGTAACTGCTAACTATACTTCTTCCAGAATGCCATCCCCATCAATATTAGCAAAATTCAGTCCAAAGTATTCTCTCTGGAGATGCATCAAGATGGTAGCAGCACAGCAGCAAGTGGCAAAGCTGGTGGAGGGACAGCAGCTCTCATAGCTCTGAACAGCTAATGGGGTCATAAAATTTCTGCGTGAGTGAATGTGGGTGCCCCTTCACTATTCTGTCCCAGGGAGAGAGTCATTAAACGAAAATGGCCAGTCGCCCACCACAGAGCACCAACCTAAAGTGTGACTCATGAAGATGGTGGCAGCACAGACACCAGTGGGCAGAGCTACTGGAAAGCTTGGTGCTATGGGCAGGGGCAGAGTTTTAACGTGTTTGAACAGGGTTGTTTGGGTCCAACCCAGGACCATATGGGTCTTAGAGTAGAGGGGGCACCCCACGTTCTCACTAGGGGGCTCTGGATGTTTCCCACCAGTGGGGATGCCCCTGCCATATTGTGAAAGAAAAACTCCTTGAGCACTGTCTGGAGACCCAAGATGGGGGGGGGGGGGCGGTGTCTCCTGGTCAAACTCTGCTCGACTGGTGCCTGAAGTCCTCCCAGAGTGTCCAGGCCATGAACAGTAGCAGCCCTAGTACTAGTCCTGGTCCCTGCTGAGGCTTCTTCTGCCACTGCCTCTGGGGCCCAAGAGGTGCAGCACTGCCAGCAGGTTAACCTAGACCCACGAGGTAAGTGCATCAGCAACTGATGATGCCTTCAGGCTTCCTGATACCCCCAAATCACCTGTGGCTGGTCTTCAACAACTCAGGACCAAGTTTCCTGAGAAATTAAAATTCCAGAAGTCAGACATGTGGGATCCATGTCCACAAACCATCTCCAGCTGAGCCATACAAGTTTATTTATTGGCCATGCTTCAGAAACATAAAAATAAATCTCAAAAGACATAAAAAGCCTCAGTTAATTTTGGACCTCTGGAAGGCTGAACAGAATAGGGTAGATTGGAAGGGGGTGGATCAGCCCACTGCCCATCCAAACAGAGCTCTCTGTAGCCACTTGCTCCCACAATCCAAAATCACCTATGGCCAGACTCCACCATCTCAGGATGGACATCACCAAGATATTAGCACTGTAGCACTGTCTTCCCGTTGTTCATCAATTTGCTCAGTGGGCCCAGTAATGTCTCCATTGTGAGACTTTTGTTACTGTGTTTGGCATATCGAATATGTCACGGGTAGCTTGCCAGGCTTTGCCATGCAGGTGAGATACTCTCGGTAGCTTGCCGGGCTTTCTGAGAGGGGCGGAGGAGTCAAACCCTGCTCGGCCCTGGCCAGCTTTGTGCAAGGCAAACGCACTACTGCTGTGCTATTGCTCCAGCCCAACCAAGATACTAACCTGCTGAAAATTCAGGCATATGGATTTTGTGACAGAAATCTCCAGGCTTTCTCAGAGTTGGGATGGGCTACCTCCCCCCACACACTTCCCTATACTCATAGAAGCACCAGCAGTCACCCCCATGAACCAATTCCAGTGCCACCATGGAAGGTCTTCTACTGGCATTGCTTCAGAAACCCACAAATAAATATCAAAAGAGAACCATAGCCACAGTTAATCTCAAACCCATAATGCACAAAGGAGAAAGAGAAAGAAAGGAGAAATATGCCTGGCGTAGTGCCAGGCAGGGTGGGGGTTGTGGAGAATCGTGGTGGGAGGAAAACTGGGACATTGGTAGTGGTAGTGGTAGTGGACATTTGTACACTGATGAAGGGATGGGTGCTGTAACATTGTATGACTGAAACCCAATCGAGAATAGTTTTGTGATATTCTAACAGTAATTCAATAACTAAATATTAGTAATTCTATAACAAAACAAATAAATAACAAAAAAACCCAAGATGCAAAGTGTTATTGTCTCCACCAAAGTATTATTCTCTCCACCAAAGTATTATTCTCTCCACCTCTTACTTATATAAAGCCCTAATTATCTATAGTTTGTACAGAGGTAGGCTAAGGGAAAGATAAAGATACAACCATATATCTGTGGTTTGTGCAAAGGTTAAGGAAAGGTAAATAACACTAAGTTGTGTATCCAGCACTGTAACCAATAACCAACTCAGTATAAAACCTTGGATAGTCTTATCCTTTCCTGGATCTTAGCTCTCCTGTTTGTGGGAGGGCAGTAATGAGGGTGAAGAGGCAATTCAATTCCAAGGATGATTACAGTGCTTAAGTCTGTACTTTTATATCTTCCTTGCATTGCTAACACTTCTTGTATTTATGTTTCATTAGTCTCTCTGGGCACAAGGAGAAGAGATAGGTGTGGGTAGCACAGAGGTGCTACCCAAAGCTGATTGATTGAACAGAGGGAAATGAGGCAGGTATAGGCCTAGATGAAAATAGCACATCACCACATACAGCATTTCAGTTACTTTCTCTGCCTTTATAAATAGATAGTTTAACCCAGGACAATGGCAGCTAAAATGTCATCATTACAGATTTATTCTTTTGGCTGCAAACATGTTAATGATAATAGAAATAAACATCAGCTTTTATGTATGGAGACATAGTGTGCACTAGATGCTTCAAATACACTGCCCCAGTTAATATCATCTATTTTCCTGTGAGGTAGAAAATACTATCTCCATACTGGAGACAAAGAAGTGATAATTGTCTAAAGTCACCTCACTAGTAAGTGGGAAGATAGAATTTGAATTCAAATCTAAATCTCACAACTTAAACCAAGTGGTAAATAACCCTCTCTTACATCAAACTGTAAAATATCTACCATTAGGGAGACAGAGATTAATACAGTTTGACCCCCAGCACTCCATATTGTTCCCCAAATCCCATCAACAGTCATTCCTGTGCAGAGTCAGATGTAAGCCATGAACAGCCTGAGTACCACCAGTTGTCTCCCCCAGAACACATTTATCTCCCATTAAAACAAATAAAAGATTACTTTTTTAAAAAATTGCCAAATCTCATCATTTTTTAATTTTTGTTGAGTCTTTGTTTTGGATATATGGGAACACGTGGAGGGAAGCTGATACTGGTGGTGGGACTGGTGTTGAAATATTATATGCCTAAATCTGAAATATAAATAACCTTGTAAATAACAGTTCTTTAATAAAATTATTTTTTAAATTGCAAGGGAGAAAAAATTTGCTAGACATTTTGTTTATGTAATCTATATGGCACAGTCACAAGACAGTTTGTTATATGATCATATGAAACATTTGTGGAGACTACCTCATGCCCATGAAAAATACTTCAATAATATTAAATGAAGAAAAGTAAGCAACAAAATTGATGAACTCAATATGTAAAAAGTATATACAGAGAAATGACTAGAATCAGGCCCAAGTGTTAATCAAGCTTCATTTTTGGGAATCAATGCTTTCTTCCTTTATTAAGCAAAGACACCTAACATATATTTCTATATTTTGTAGGATGTTCACATAATACTTACGGGGGGACTTAAGGGCTTAAAATAGAATTTCAAAGATGCAAATCCCCATGGAATGATTTAAATACTAAATCTTACCTTCATTTTACACCTCTGGTTCTTCCCTTAGCACAGCAATCAGTTATCAGGAAAAAGGGATTCAGTAGCCATCTTGCCAGTTAAACATTATAACAAGAATTGGGCCTGGGAACAATTTTGTAAATAAATATCACCAGAGAACCAGAGAGGAAATCTATTTCAGGGTTGACAATAGAACAGGAAAGGCCCTGAAGACAGGAACCAGTAAGGCAAGTATCCCAGTGGGAGACAATGAATGCACAAGGTTAACTACTTTAAGGTACCTTGTGTTTCCTGCCAATATAGTGACCTCCATGGAAAGAACAGCCATTAGATAGGGAGAACGAGATTCAATAGGCTAAAACAGCTAGCCTGAACATCGAGCCTTATAACAATTTTGATTTGAGCTGGAGAGACTTCAAAACATGACGGAAGTGATAAGTAAGAATAAAAGAGTGGATCTTTGACTTCATTTTTCACTTCAAAGGTTTTGTCTTTGAGTTAGTCATCAAAATACCCAAGAATCAGTGGATACTCACTAGATGTTAGTTAAAATGAGATACAGCAATGTATACATATTCACAAGTCAGGATATTATACATCTTAACCTTTACTGTCATGTACCCTTCTGAGCAATCTGATGAAATCTATGAACACCTTCTTAGAATACTTGAGAATTCATAAAGTAGATACAAATAAATCAATTATGTTGAAATAGTTAACAAATTTAATAATGCAGGAAGAATCTTCTGCCCCCACATCAGGCTGTCTTCACCGGGGTACCTTGGAGGGGGGCAGGTAGAGTTTTGCTCCCTGCCCCAAGCAGAACCCCGGCAGTATAAAACCTCCAGAACCCAGCCGCAGCCATGCTCAAGGCCACTCTCCACACGCTCAGATGAGCCCCACCCATGAAGGAACTGGCAAAGAAACTCAGGTATGCGGGACCCGTAGCTGAGATCTCCAAGCCTGCTCAGATTGAGACTGGGCCTCCTCCACCCAGATCCCCAGTTTTCCAGTAGCTTGGCAGTCACACTCATAAATTTCCTCCTTTCCCCCACCTCCGGCGCCATGTAATCTCATTAATGGCAAAGATCAAGAGACTATAAAATAAAGCTCCAAGAAGAGAGCAACACATTATTTCCTGGAGCATGTGGCCGCATTCACGGCTACATGACCTCTTATACTCTAGCGCACTGATGTACTTAAAGTAGCACACGTGTGTTTGA